TGCCTCACCGTCCCCCTCTCACCATGACTGCCTCACCATCCCCCTCTCACCATCACTGCCTCACCGTCCCCCTCTCACCGTCACTGCCTCACCGGCCCCGTTCTCACCGTCACTGCCTCACCTTCCCCCTCTCACCATGACTGCCTCACCGTCCCCCTCTCACCATCACTGCCTCACCGGCCCCATTCTCACCGTCACTGCCTCACCGTCCCCCTCTCACCATCACTGCCTCACCGTCCCCCTCTCACCATCACTGCCTCACCGGCCCCGTTCTCACCGTCACTGCCTCACCGTCCCCCTCTCACCATGACTGCCTCACCATCCCCGCTCTCACCGTCACTGCCTTACCGGCCTTGTGCTCACCATCACTGTCTCAACGGCCCCGCTCTCACCGTCACTGCCTCACTGTCCCACTCTCGCCGTCACTGTCTCACTGGCCCCGCTCTCACCGTAACTGCCTCACCGGCCTTGCGCTCACCGTCACTGCCTCACCGTCCCACTCTCACTGCCACTGGCTCACTGGCACCACTCTCATCGTCACTGCCTCACCAGCCCCACTCTCACCATCACTGCCTCACCAGCCCCACTCTCACCATCACTGCCTCACCGGCCCTGCTCTCACCGTCACTGCCCCACCATCCCCGCTCTCACCGTCACTGCCTCACCGGCCCCACTCTCACCGTCACTGCCTCACCAGCCCCACTCTCACCATCACTGCCTCACCAGCCCCACTCTCACCATCTCTGCCTCACCGGCCCCACTCTCACCGTCACTGCCTGACCGGCCCCGCTCTCACCGTCACTGCCTCACTGGCCCCACTCTCACCGTCACTGCCTCACTGTCCCTGTTCTCACCGTCACTGCCTCACTGTCCCCGCGTCACTGCCTCACCGTCCCCACTCTCACCGTCACTGCCTCACCGTCCCTGCTCTCACCGTCACTGCCTCACCGGCCCCGCTCTCACCGTCACTGCCTCACCGTCCCCGCTCTCACCGTCACTGCCTCACTGGCCCCGCTCTCACCGTCACTGCCTCACCGTCCCCGCTCTCACCGTCACTGCCTCACCGGCCCTGCTCTCACTGTCACTGCCTCACTGGCCCCGCTCTCACCGTCACTGCCTCACTGTCCCCGCTCTCACTGTCACTGCCTCACCGTCCTGCTCTCGCTGCCAAAGTCGCTCCGGCCCACACTCGATCTGCCATCGCAGCAGGACACGGCCCGCGCATTCAGCTCCTGCCACGAGGTTCCCGGTCGCGACCCAGCTCCTTAGGTGGGTAGTTAAAAGGGTAGTGGGGCTGAGCGGGTAGTATTACTGCAGAGAGGAGAGAGAAGAGAGACAATGAAGAACAAGGGAAAGGCAGAGGAAAGGGAACTGGCAAGCAGAGTGGAACTCCGAATGGAGTGACTAGCCCTGCCACCATCTGACCAGCAGTTGACCAGCAAATTGATGACCGCCATGCCATTGCCCATTCAGTAAGATGCTTCAGAGTGATTTGGCCATGTTGAGCGATTGGGTAAATGCACAGCAAATGAAGTATATTGGGGATAAATGTGAGGTTATCCAGCAAACCAGGAAGGTGGATTTTTACTGGAATGGTGTTAGATGAGGAGAGGAAGAGGTGCAATGAGACCTGGGTGTCCTTGTACACCAGTTGCTGAAAGTAAGCATTGCAGGGGCAGCAGGTGGTGAACAAGACAAATATAATGTTGGCCTTCATAGTGAGCGGATTCATGTACAGGAGCAGGGATGTTTTGCTGCGGTTGTACAGGGCCTTGGAGAGACCACCCCTGGAGGATTGTGTGTAATTTTGGTCTCCTTATAGAGTCATAGAGTCATGCAACATGTAAACAGACTCTTAGGTCCAACCAGTCCACGCCAAGCACGTTCCCAAACTAAACTAGTCCCACCTGCTTGCATTTGGCCCATATCCTTCTAAACCTTTCCAATTCATGTCCGTATCCAAATGTCTTTTAAACATTGTAACTGTATCTGCATCCACCACTTCCTCTGGAAGTTCATTCCACGCGAGCCACTCTCTGTGTAAAAAAGTTGTCCCTCATGTCCTTTTTGAATCTTTCTCCTCTCATCTTAAAAACATGCTCCCTGGTTTTGAAATCCCCACCTTAAGCAAAAGACCTTTGCTATTCACCTCGTCTATACCCCTCATAATTTTATAATCCTCTATAAGGTCACCACTCAACCTCCTACTCTCCAGTGAAAAAAAGTCCCAACCCATCCAGCCTATTTTTATAACTCAAACCCTCCATTCCCAGCAACATCCTGCTAAATCTTTTCTGAACCCTCTTCAGTTTAATAATATCCTTTCTATAACAGACCAACCAGAACTGCACATAGTACTCCAGAAGAGGTCTTACCAACATCCTGTACAACCTCAACATGATGTCCCAACTCCTATACTCCAAGAAGGATTTATGGCTATGAAGGGAATGTACCAAAGGTTTACCAGACCGATTTGACAGATGTATGAAGAGAGACTGGATTGATTAGGAGTATATTCATTGGAGTTTAGAAGACTCAGGGAGGATCTCATAGAAATCTATAAGATTCTAACAGTACCAGACAGAATAAATGCAGGAAGGATTTTCAAATTGACTGGGGAGTCTAGAAGCAGGGTCCACAGTCTAAGGATGTGGGATAGGCCATTTAGCACTGAGATGAGGAGAAATTTCTTCACCCAGAGAGTGGTGAGCCCCAACAGAGAAAACGGTTGAGGCCAAATCATTAAGAAGAAGTTAGAGCTGCAGAGATAAAATGATATGGGGAGAAAGCAGGAACAGGGGTCTGAGTTGGATGATCAGCCATGGTGGAGCAGGCTGGAAGGGCTGAATGGCCGACAGCTTCTCCTCATCTCTATGTTTCTATCTACGTTTCACCCTGCATTTGATTTTCCAGCCACCCTCAATCTTTTCAATTCTGCTCACAAGAGGCTTGGCCTGAGCTGGAATGTTATCAATACGAGACTGTGTATCACTCACACGTGGTCACCTCCTGTACATTTTGAAGCTGATTTTCTGGAATATGTTGGGCACCTTCCATTCCTTGGCTGTCATCTCTTACAAGAAGGTCGCCATTGAGAAGATTAGCTGTGCCAGGCTAAAGCAATGAGGGTTTGGCAAACAAGACCTCCACAAGCCTACAGAACAATCGTCAATGCCTCACTCCAATACTGCAGGGACTTGGAGTGTGTATCAGTGGTGCATAATGCTCAAGATATTCCCCCAGCAACACCTCTGCCCCAAGTTCAGTTAGAGCACTGTTGAACAAACACAATAGTCCTTCATGCAGCCACCTCACACACATGTTTAGGCAAAACCTCCTGAAAAATCTGACTTCCCCAACGAGCAGCTCTCTGAAAGCTTGTGATTTCAAATAAACCTGTTGGACTATAACCTGGTGTCGTGTGATTTCTGACTTTGTCCATCCCAGTCTAACACCGGCACATTCACATCCTGAAAAATCAATTACAATGAACTGGGCACTGTGCCTGGACACCTGCAAACGATCCCTTCTACTTTCCCAACTCTGAAACGGCCAATGTTGCTGGGGAGGACAAGAACGAACACTTTTAAAGCACTCTGAGGCTCTCCTTGAAGTGTCACAGCATTGACATTAATAATGGGGAGGAGTTTGCTACCAGTTATTCAGAATGATGAAAACCTGTCCACCAAACTGTATCATGCTGTAAATCCAATTGGTGGAATGATGAGACAGAATCATCTCCTGCCTCATACTTACTCTCCTTGGTTTCATATCCCTTCAAGTATCTACCCAACAAAAATACCTTCATCTCAGTTTTGAAATTTCAGTGGACTTCAGAATCTCTCTGGAGAAGGAGTTCCGAATTCATATGCTCAATTATGTTCAAAAGTACTCCCTGAAATCTCCTCTGAACAGCCGAACTCCAATTGTTCATGTAATGGCCCCTTTATTTGGATTGTAAAGAATAGTTTCTCCCTATTGTTACAAACTCAGTGGGCTTCCCTCTGTACTGGTGCTAATCTCTGATTCCACTCTCATTTCACCCTGAATTATCCTGTAATCATCAATACCCAAAGCCCAGACTCCAATCCACTTTGGTGACTATGAAGTTTGACTTCTTCCGTTTCACCATTAAATCAACATTTCAGGAACAACTTCTTTTAGACAGAGAGTGGTATGAATTTGGGGTTCAGTTGCATGTGGAGTTGTTGAGGTGACTGACATAGATATATGTCAACGTGGCACACTTGTGTGAACTGGAAGCTACAGAGGTTAACATAAAGAGCCCCCTTTGGTGCAGACAGAAAGAGCATGTAAACACACTGCGCCTCTTTCAAGTCAAAATAGGAAATGGCCATTCACTTATTCATTTCGCATACCAACGCCTCGACCAATCAGTCAACCTGCTTGGTTTCAAATTTAAATAAAAATTGGCATTTAATTGTCAGTCATCATTAACTGGCGTACACTTCATCCAATACCTCTACCCATCAGCATCCACCTGCCAACCAATCAGCACTCTTCCCTCATACTGTATAATCACAGGTTTCCCTTTAATTTGGTGTCTATGAATTGGTGCAAGATCAAAAGCTTTGATAAAAATACAACTTTTCTTTAGCAATATTGCAGTTCTGTACTGCCAAACGCCTATATAAATATATTCACAGAAAAGCTAAATATGCACATGGGGGTGAATCAATAGATGGATATGCTAATAGGAAGTGATGAAGAGGAGGAGGGGAAGGCACATGTAGAACATAAGCTCTGGTTTTGATCGGTGAGCTGAATGGTCTGTTTCTGCTCTTTCTATGTGATTGTATGTAATGTTTTCACCACTGAGTTTGTGAAGCCTCTGAGTCTTTCTGAAACACAGTGTGAATGATCAGCTCACTCCAGACTCTCACCTTCCATCATATGGAACTCCATCCAATCGTATGCTTATTTTAGAATCGCTCTGGGCAGCTTTATGTGAGCACCGTGCACATTCTTCTGTTTTACAGAGAAATTGCTGACAATCCCTTCATTTCTACCATCCCTGCAAATGCCTTCGATGGGTTGTCCAATGAGTCACTAACTCTGTAAGTAAAGCGTCGCTGTGGTTGAAGGGTCACTTTTACTATCAGCCAGTAGGAGGTGCTGCACTGGAGGGGAGGGGAGACATAGCCTGGGGATAGAAGGTTCGCAAATATCGATTCCTCACTAATAAGACAGATCATGATTTACAGTTCTGCCAGATTGTAGTGATTCATTTTTTTAAAGTTTATTCACAGGCATAACTGCCTTTATTACCCAGAGGGCAGTTAAGATCCACATCTCTGTTGGTCAGACCAGGTAAGAACAGCTGATTTCTTTCCCTAAAGGGCATTAATGAACAAATTACCATTTAACAAGAAGTAACATGGTCCCATCAGGCTAGATGTTAACTCCAAATTTTTGATGCATTTAACCTTCACCATCTACCATGGTGGGATTTGAACCTAAATCCCTAGGACGTGAACCAGAAGCTTGTGGGTTACTAGACCAGTGATTTTGCATCTACACCAGCATTTGCTTACAAATGCCCATGGTGATGGTAGGGAGTGGGGGCTGGGCTGGTGGGGTGATCGTTTTGCTCAAGTTGTATGGATTGTGTGGGTTAGATATCATTCTGCAACATCAGTGGAGAATTATCTGAGGCTTCATTGTAAGTTTGGGTGATAGCATAAATCCCACACTGTCAGATCAAAGCCTCAGTACTCTAACTCCTGCACTGAAACCTGGGGAGAGATGTAATAGCGTGGACATTGTGATTGACTAAAAGGTAAGTTTATTCTTAAATAAGGCAGGAAGCAGGCAGGTATATCACCTTCATCCTCACCATGGGTGCTGGACCATCACAGAATAACACAATGCCACCCACAGCCCAAGCAATCTTCTCTAAAGACACAATTGTATCTGAAATAACCCCTCAGAGGCTGGTATCCTGTCACCAAGTCACCCTTTATTTACATGTGGAGAGCCCTTGACACTGATCCAGCTCCCTCAGAGCCAGCTCTCAGAGTGAACAGAACCTCTGACACTCCTGTTTATATCCGTCAGCCAGGGCTCCCTGATTGGACCAGGTTAACAGTCCCAATCAGGGAACTCATATTCTATGAGGCCCACCTGACTGACCGCATTACAATCACTACAGTGCCCTTTGAAATTGATCAAACTCCGGAACATGGTGAAGGATTTGTAGGGGTTCCTGTTTTTTTAGACTTCATGCCCCTAGTACTGCTCATAATAAACACTGTCCCTGCTCGTGAGTATCACAGATAGAAACTGAAAAGAGGCTGATACCCAAGGAATATTGCGAACAATTTTATTCTCCTTACTTGAGGAGGGATGTAGTTGCATTGGAGACAGTTCATAGAAGCTTTGCCAGATTGATTCCAGAGATGGGGGGTTTGTCTTATGAAGAGAGACTGAGTAGTTTACTTTCTGGAGTTTAGAAGAATGAGAGGAGATCTAAATGAGGTGTATGAGATGCTAAAGGGGATTCACAAAGTAGACACAGGGAAGATGTTTCCTCATATGGGGCAATAGAACAAAAGGTCGTAGATTTAGTGTAAGGGGTAGCAGATTTAAAACAGAGACGAGGAGAAATTACCTCTCTCAAAGGGTCTTGAATCTGTGGAATTCACTATCCCAGAGTGCAGTGGATGCTGGGACATTGAGTACATTTAAGGAGGAGATAGATTTTTAACGAGTAACGGGTTGAAGGGTTATGGAGAATGGGCAGGAAAATGGAGTTGAGGCTGAGATGAGATCAGCCATGATCCTAACAAATGGCAGAGCAGGCTCAAGGACAAACACCTGCTCCTAGATCTTATGGTTTTACATTCTTTATTGTTTATGTTCTTATGAATATCCCTTTTGATCATTTGCCAGTGGAATTAGAAAGTGTTTAAACTAATTTGGCAGATTGTGGGAAATATTAGCAAGGAGATACAAGATGCACAGAGAATTGGGAGAGTCAGATAGCGTCAAAGTATAGTATGACAGTAGATAGGGTCAGTGTAAGAGGGAATGAAATTATGTCCGGATTCAGTTCATAAATGTGGACACACAGAGGTGAGGGTTCCCATGTGGGAAGATGGTAATGATCTTTTGGTGCCAGTAGCTTGCTCAAAAATAACGTGCTGGGTACAATATATTTATTACAAAACGAAGAAATGTAGATTCTGGAGATCCAAAACAAAAACAGAAATTGCAGGAGAAACTCAGCAGGTTTAGCAGCTCCTGTGGAGAGAGAAACACTGACACTTCTCCATAAGGTTTAGTTTAGATATGGACAGAGGTATGGACTGATCTACAGCAAAAATAATTAGTTGGGGGTATCCACTTTTAAAGGGGTAAGAACATTCTGGCCCGAATAAATTGGAATCAAAGATTGGCACCATCGGGCAGCTTTCAGAGAAGAAATAGTTTAGGGATAGTTGAGATACATATCCAAGAGGAGGAAAGGTAGGAAAATAAAACTAGATCTCCCAGGATGACAGAAAATCATAAAAATAAAATAAAGCAAAAGAAACATGTGTTGAGGTGGATAACACAGTCAAGAATCTGGCTGATTATCGAAATTTCAGAGAGGAAATGAAATGAAAAATAGAAGCAAAGAGAGGGTATGAGAAGAGACTGGCAGTTAAAATGAAAGGGAATGCAAAAGTCTTCGAGTGTCATATAAACAGGAAAAGGAGAAGTGGAATTGATTAGGAGTAAAAAAGGATGATTTATGGATGGAGGCATGCAGTTTATATGAGATACTAAATGAATACGTTGCAGATGTCTTTGTCGAGGAAGAAGGTATTGCCAAAGTCACTGTGAAAGAGGAGAACATAGAACATAGAAGATAGAACAGTACAGGCCCTTCGGCCCCTGATGTTGTGCCAAACTTTTACCCTAATTCTAAGGTCTATCTAACCTCCACCCCTACCTTATACTATCATCCATTTGCCTATCTAATAGCTGCTTAAATGCCCCTAATGAGGCCGACTCCACTACCCTCTCCAGCAATGCATTCCACGCTCCAACCAGTCTCTGAGTAAAGAACCTACCTCTGATGTCTCCCCTATATCTACCTCACAAGCCTACTGCACCTGATATTCCCAGGCAGTCTCCCATCTAAGTACTAACGAGGCCTGTGTCTGCTTAGCATCTAAAATCACATGTTTTCGGACGAGTATGGCCATAGAAAGAGAAGGGCTAGAAATGGATGAAGAGGAGTCCCCAGATAGTCTGGCTGAACTTAACGTTGTTAAGTCACTAGGAAAGGATGAGATACACTCAACGATACTGGGGAAATAACGTTGGTAACTGTGGAGCCGTTGGCTTTAATCTTCCAATCCTCTTTAAATGCAGGGGTGAGAAACTGTAAATTAACACCTTTGGTTAAAAAGCCCACAACTATAAGCCTGTTATCTTGACCTTGGTGATGAGAAAGCTTTCAGAAGCGATCATTTTGAATAAAATTAACATTCATTTCAACACATATGGATTCATTAAGAAAAGTCAGCCTTAGTTAAAGGTAAATTATGGTGAACTAACTTGCTTTGTGTTTTTTTGATGGGGTAATGGCAGAGAGGCTAGATGAGGAGAAGGCAGTTGATGTGGTGTATATGGACTCCCTAAAGGAATATGAGGCAGTGCCACACAAAGGCTTATCAGTAAAGTTGAAGACCATTGAAAACAATCTGGATGTGGAGAGATAGTAGGAACTGCAGATGCTGGAGAATCTGAGATAACAACTGGTTCGCACTAAACAACTGCACCTCCCAGTCGCGAACCATTTCAACTCCCCCTCCCATTCCGCAGACGACATGTCCATCCTGGGCCTCCTGCAGTGCCACAACGATGCCACCCGAAGGTTGCAGGAACAGTAACTCATATTCCGCTTGGGAACCCTGCAGCCCAATGGTATCAATGTGGATTTCACAAGCTTCAAAATCTCCCCTCCCGCTACTGCATCCCAAAACCAGCCCAGCTCGTCCCCGCCTCCCTAACCTGTCCTTCCTCCCACCTATCCCCTCCTCCCACCTCAAGCCCCACCCCCATCTCCTACCTACTAACCTCATCCGGCCCCCTTGACTTGTCCGTCCTCCCTGGACTGACCTATCTCCTCCCTACCTCCCCACCTACACTCACCTTTACTGGCTCCATCCCTGCCTTTTTGACCTGCCTGTCTCCTCTCCACCTATCTTCTCCTCCATCCATCTTCGATCCGCCTCCCCCTCTCCCTATTTATTTCAGAACCCCCTTCCCCTCCCCCATTTCTGATGAAGGGTCTAGGCCCGAAACGTCAGCCTTCCTGCTCCTCTGATGCTGCTTGGCCTGCTGTGTTCATCCAGCTCTACACCTTGTTATCTGGATGTGGAGTTGTCTGAGTGACAGGAAATGGAAAGTAGCAGTGAACATTTGCTGTTCTGATAGGAGGATGGTAAATAGTGGAGAATTCAGACAGTTTTCAGTATTTGGAACAATACTTTGTTTGATATATATTAATAATTAGATTTTGGGACACAGAGGCACAACTTCAGAATTTGCAGCTGACTCAAAATTTGAAAGCATTGCGAACTGTGTGGAAGATAGTGCTGAACTTTAAGAGGATATAGACATTTGATGGAACGGGCAGATAAGTCGAACCAGAGAAGTGTGAAGTTTAATGGGAAGAAGGAGGAGAGGCAATGGAAAATAAAGGCCCCTGCTTTAAAGCAGGTGCAGGTCAAAGAGAAAGGAGGACCTGGGGATGGGGATCAAAGGTAGCAGGGTAGGTTGAGATGAAATGAATAATAAATGGTACAGGATCCTGGGCTTTATAAATAGGAACATACAGTACAAAATTGAGTATTTTATGGGGTAATTAGGGACAGTCAGCATGGCTTTGTGCTGGGCAGATCATGTCTTACCAACCAAGATGCATGGAATCCATGATGATGTAACCACGTGGATCCAGAATTGGCTTGCCCATAGAAGACAGAGGGTAGTGGTGGAAGGGTGTTTTTCAGGCTGGAGGTCCCTGACTAATGTTCCGCAGAGATCCGTACTGGGACCTCTGGTG